CAAAAGGTGCATTCTTCCTATTTCTTCACCGGACGCCTACGACTACACCTCTTAAGGGATTATAGAGGCTTTAAGAATTCACAAAGGACAACGAAGAGAATATCCTGATCTTCAAGACTCGTGAAAGTGAGCCCATTCAATATCACAATCCTTAAAGTTGTGATCGCTATACTTGAGGAGTGCGAGAGCATAAACAAATTGCCAGAGGACTCTTGGTTGAGGAATTTCGGCCATAACATTTTGGTGCAATCCTGTAAGGTGCGAATTCCCGACTTCTGATTTACGAAGCAGCGAGTAGACTATCACCACACCGAGCAAACCGATTAGAGAACAACGAAGTCGAGGGAGTCCGGCATCTTGTGAACATCTACACCGTTCAGCGGAGGCAGCATCACGAAAAATCTAGAAACGAGATAAGTAGTTTCAATTATCCGTGTGTGCGCTTATGCGTACAGACCTTTATTCATTAACATATATTTCAAGTGAAACTGCGCCTTCGAATCCAGTAGAAGTTTGCAATTTCCAATATCATTATTCATTTATTCACCATTTGTAAGAAATTTCATATCAAGCTTTGAATCGATATATGAATAACTTAATTATTAATATCAACGGTAGAAACATATAGATTCAWKAAATAGTTATTTCTTAATCACGCGGAAATCGCTTTATCCTTGTACAAATAACGATAACATTTTCGGCGGTCCCACCGTCACGCCGCATTCTTTTATTTGAACGGTCGACTAGAAATCGAAGACGCCGTGACGTGTAGAGGGTTTCTCTATAGTAAAAATAAAAYTAGACTRAATTTTCTTTGCGACTTGCTTTTCTTTATTGAACATTTATCAACGGCTACGTACAGACTAGTAACTACTTCCTGTTAGCGTGATTCCCTAGCCTTCTAGTAACTTTAGAGGGCGCGATCTTCGGTCGTACCGCCACAGTCGTTTCGCCGGTCACTCCACCTATCGGCATACAGCTAGCGACAATCGTATACCCCCTCCATCGGGCTACCACTAACAATAAACGAATACCCCCTCCAACGATTTACGGCATCAGGACCGTACTCGCGTGATCAAGAACCCAACGCACGGCCATACACTCGTACAAGGGAGATTTTTATATTTACCATAAATTGATTTGAGTAGTTTTCGCGGAATAGAATAGACGATACCGATCCATAATGACATCACAAAAACGGCTCGAACAAAAGCGACAGAATTTAGGATCGCGATTAACGTATTTCGAAAATTTAATTGAAGAAGAAAGTTTAAGTGTAGATGAACTAAGAAGACGTTACGAACGTCTTACCAAACAAGTAGATAATTATGAATCATTGCATGAACAGTGTTGTAATAACAGCGCCGGAGAGACAGGAGTCGACGATCTAGACCAACTCATAGAAAGATATCACGTGATCGGAGACAAAATTGACTCGGGCGATACGGCCGCGATTAGTAACGCGAATGGTTCGCAGGGAGACGACGGTACTACAAATACCCGCGATCAGCAAATACGATTACGCCGAATCGAGATCCCGAAATTCGACGGAGACATCGGAAAGTGGATCCTGAAATTTGACGGAGACATCGGAAAATGGATCCAATTTAAGGGGAGTTTTTTAACGCTGGTGGACGCGCGCACCGACATGTCGGATTTAGAAAAACATATATACCTCCGCGAGTCTCTTACCGGTAGAGCGCTTCAGACGATCGCGACATATTCACTGACCGGGCAGAATTATAAGAATGCGTGGGAAATGTTACTGAAAACTTTCGACCGGCAACGCATACTCCTAGCACGGGCCATTGACGCCTTCATAGACACTCCACGGCCGAAAAACATGTCAATAGAAGAGATGACACGGCTTGCGGGTGACTTGCGGGCCCATACAGATACTATTACTTCTTTCAATATACCCCACGCACTGATGGTCCGCCTTGGCGAACGCATTCTACCCCGCGACCTTAGACAAGAATGGGACAAACAGTTAGATGCGGATAATTATCCGACCATGAGTCAGCTTTGCGACTTTGTGAACGAGTATACACTCCGTAGCGTCGCGTCGTCAAATATTCYATCGACATCGAGAAAYGAGCCTCACGCAAAACGTAGATWTACTGAGACGATGACTTTACGGCCACGAAAACGACAGGAGACGCATATAACGCGYACGTTTCTTACTCAGACCTCAAATAAGTGTATTCTTTGCAAACGAGACAAACATCTTTTATACCAATGTTCCCGATACCATGACCTGACGAGACAAGACAGACTGGCGATAGTCAAACGTTACGGATTATGTCAAAATTGCTTACGGAAGCACCGAGATCCATGTAAGAGTTCACATTGTCAAATCTGCAACCAGACCCATCACACGTC